TCAATCCATATTGTAGGCTGCAGTCCTTGACACTCTGCAGCAGGCACTTCAGGTCCTCTTCAGTTTCAGGTGCGTTTTGATAATTTCAGTCTTTAAGAGTTTCATCAAGAGTTGGAATTTTCATCTTCTAAAATGTGGAGGCGTGGCCTTTGGGATGGTAGGGTCACCCCTATAGCTAACACCACAAGAGCCTCCTTGTCCCAAAGGGGGTTACATGACTCCCTCACTCACAATCTCCCCTCGTGTGGTTTACAGCCTCAGAAACCCAGCGATGGCGCAACTTACACATCAGCAATTAAGGGACCATTGTGAGCCATCGAGTCGGAACCGACCCAGCTGACTCCCCAAGGGGCTTTTCAGAGGCAGTAAATTGCACAGGAGGAGATTTCCCGTCCTTCTCCCCTGGAGCAGATGGTGGATTCAAACCACCGTGTACCTTTGAGGTCGCAGTGCAGTGTCATACCACTAGGCCACCAGAGCCAGGACAATTGATCAGCCTCTTTCTTTTGTGATATTCATATTCCTGAGGACAGGCCATTTATTTTAGAAAATGCTTGTCATGATTAGGGTTTAGTCATGTGTGTGTCAGGGATAGTAACATATTGATAGCATGTCCTTCTTAGTACTTCATGTCAGATTTCACGTTGGTTCCCGATATTAGTGACCGATGTTGTAAGGGGCTGTTGAGTGATCTCTTAGTGACCCTCAGTTCAACAGGTCAAGTCCATGTTTGATCCTGCACCATCTTTACAATCTCTGCTGTCCTTGAGGTCATTGTTGTAGCCACTTGTCAGTCCGTCTGGTTGAGGGTCCTCCTCTCTTCCTCTGACCCTTCACTTTCCTGAGTGTGATGTTCTACATGAACTGGCCCCTCCTGACCACGCGCTCAGAGTATTTGAGATGAATTCTCACCATCTTTGCTTCTAAAGGACACTTGGACGGCACTTCATCCCACATAGATGTGGTTGTTCTTTTGGTAATCTGTGGCCTACTCAATATTCTTCACCAGCACCACCATTCAGAAATATCAGTTCTTCCTTATGTATTGTCCAGGTATCTACGAAACAACTGACAATGCCATGGTCTGGGTCAGGCACACCTTAGTCTTTGAAGTGACATCTTTGCTCTTTGGCACTTTAAAGAGACCTTTTGCTGGATTTTTGAAATCCATTTGTAATGCTGTACATGCAGTATTTGTGCCACTCCGCTTGCCGATAGAGCTATTGCTTTTGAAAGTGATTCCGAAACCTGTTTACAGCTATGTATTCAATACTTGACATTGAGAGATTGCACACAATTGATTTTTATGAAATGGAATACAAACTGCTTTGCCTATTTTATACCGATTTCATCAGATCTTGAGAAACCAAAGCACCAGCACTTTGAGAGATTATTTTGAGCTCGCCTTTCCCCCAAACAGTATTCCATGGCTCAAACTTAAATTGAACCTTTGAGGTTTGAATACATGAAAAATGTACTCGATGAAGAGGGCCATCAGGTTGGAACCAACTCAGATCTGACCTGTCACTGGTTCAAAGGTTGTAAATTACACACGAGGAGATTGCCCGTCTTTATCTCAAGATGCCACTGGCGGATTCTATCTGCCAGAGAGCTTTTTGTCCTTGGGCTATACATCTCCCTACAGAGCTCCCTGTGAGGAATTTCTTATTGTTGTTATGTACCATCACATCATGTGTGACCCATAGTGACCCTATG